CCTACCTTTTCCGGTAGGTTAATGTGTTTTCCTTAATGTAGTTGAGCTTTTAGATTTATAGTTGCAGTTTGCACTTCAGGGCCACCGTAGTAAATGGACCATATAGTGATGCTCTAAAGTATAATATTCTCGCCTCAAATGATCCTAAAATATACTTTTATTGAATAACAGCAACAGATAATAGAACTTTTAACTTAATACTGTGAGCCCTGTGAGCGCTCCATTGAAAGCTGCTGCTGCCGCAGTGCATGCTGGGACAGCTGTAAATCTCAAGAATGGACAAGTCTGCTCTGTTAAGACTTGGTAAACGGTTGGGGGGGGGGTGCGAGAACAACATCCGGGGACTCTGTCCGTTCTCGGTCTGCTGATCTTGTGAATTGGAACAGTACTAGGACTGAGGTTGATGACGTTTTATGAGAACGCGCAAGTACACATATTGAGAAACGGCCAAAATGTTCAGTCCTCTCTAAACTGTAACTCACCCTGATCATTAAACATAACACCACCTACAGAAGAAATTAGAAAAATGACACTTTTAAAAAAAATGTAAATGAACAATTAAGGGTTTAGGGGTGCAGTAAGAACTGGAGAAAGTGGGGCCTAGCCTAGCAAGAAGCACAATGGATGGCCGTTTCTCAATTCATAAGAATGCGAATACGGATTTATGTTCTTTTAGGTACCTTTTGCTTTAGATACAGCTGAAGTTGGACCAGGCCTACCTGAGCTCAGAAGATTTTGGTTCTGTTTAACACCATCTGGATCAGTTCTGCACAGAAAAGATGTCCTTTTCGTCCCTGTCATCATCAAACTCAACGTCTCACCGTTTGTGCTTTTTTCCCTTTGTCTGTTTCTCCTCCAGGGCTTCTGTTCCTGGCTCACGGCCATTTTTAGAATAAAGTAAGTCTGAAATTCGAAATCACCTTCAACCCTTTGCTTCCAAAACATCAGGGGCCTTATGTGCAAAAAAGTGAGCAGCTTTCATCCTGAAAGTTTGTGGTTGAAAATAAAAAAGAAATTTGCATCACATGTAAAATTAAACACTTGCAAATAACTGCAGCCAGTTTTTCCAGTTTTTTTTCAACTGGACCTGACTACATATGAAAATCAGTATAAATATCCGGAACAACTGCCATGGCAACTGTGCTCTCAGACATAGAGAGACTTTATCAACGCTTTTTAAGGAGATTTGTTTTAGCCAACCAAGAACTTCTTTAATCACATCAGCAGCTCACTAAATAAAGCAGCTGAAAATGAAGTCATGAAGTAAAAAAAAAAATCTGTCTGCATTTTTGTTTCACATTGTTTATATCTAGTGCAAAATCTCAATCAGCTGCAATGAGTTCAATTACTGTAATATGAGCAAATCATTATTATTCATGTGGAAATTCCCCCCATCTTTCTATTAGGAATGTGTAAATGTAAATGCACGAACACATAAACTATTATTAATGTTTAAAACAACTTAAAATGTGACAGAAAAGATTAAAAAAGGAGAAAAACTGAATCCAGTTATGGGGCACTGGTGGATTCCCTATAACTGTGACACCTGCATTCACCGTTTGGATTTCTTTAAACCGCTTCAACAGCAGCTCTGTACGGAAGAGGATTAGGGCCACTGAAAAAAAAAAAAAAAAAAGTTAACAGATTTTTTTTTTATTTTATTTCAG